GGGGGCCTTCTCAGAGCACGCCCTGGCCCGCAGATCCCTGCTCCGCCCCCAGTGCTTTCCCTGCCCTCCCCCAAGTCAGAGACCCCACGGGCAGCACTCACTCGCTTCTCCTGACCAGAGGGCCCTTCAGCTTGGTCTCCAGCCCGCCGAGGAAGCCCTTGACATTCTCCGACCTGGCCGACGTGGTCTTCAGCAGCCGCTCGGCCATGTCCTTCTTCTCTGCTAGCCAGCTGTTGGCTGACTTCAGGTAGGCGTCGATGCTCCCCGCAGGCTTCTCCTTGGCCTCTGAGGGCAGCGGGTGTGGCTTACCTGGGAGGCGGTGCGAAGAAGAGGGGATTAGCTGGTTGGGACCACAGAGGGCCAGACGCCACGTGCTCGTTGGTGCTGCCAGAGCACCCTCCATGTGGCAGCAGGGCAGCTGTCATCTTCAGCCTGGGGAGGCCTCCATCTGAGAGGCCTCTGTCTGGAAATCTCCATCCTCAACCCGGGGGAAGATTCCACCCGGGAAGCCTCTGTCCTCAACGCTGGGGAGGCCTGTCTGGGAAATTGCCACGACTAACCCTGGCCAGCCTCTGTCCTCACCCTACAGGCAGGTGAGGCAGCAGAACACCAAGGGATGCCAGGGCGAGGCTGAGGGCTCAGGCCTTCTCTCGCTGAGAGAGTGTTCTTTATGAACACTAGGTGCCCACACTCAGACTGGGTCTGGCAGGAACCAGGAGAAAACAGACAGGACTGAGCCCTGGAGGAGGAGGAGGCTGGCAGAGGTGAGGAACCCAGGGAGGGCACAGAATGAGAGTGACAGGAGGACAGAAGAGGCCGGCCCCACGACGGGTGACAGTGCAGGTCTGCAACGGGTTTAGAGGCACCTGACTAGGCCTGAAGCAGGTGGGGAGACTGTGAGGGCAGCGTGCCCTGGGAGGAGGGGTGTGAGCCAAGGCAACACAGGCGTCCCTTCTGAGAGGGAGGCCCAGGCACCCAACGGCCAGGTGCCGTGCCTGCTGCCGGGTGAGGGTGCCCTGGCACAGGTCCGATTCAAGCCAGCATCAAGTCTCAGGTGCACAAGAGGCTCCCACCTGACCCAGAGGCAGCTGCTGAGGGGCCCGGCCCAGTGGTGGCCTGCCTAAGAGCTACGGAGGTCAGAACCGTGTGGCCACTGGACTGAGGTGCTGGAGACGACGGCTGTTGGGAAGAGAGGACAAAGCCAAGTGACGGGTGGACGAGACACGCCATGACAGCAGGAGCCTGGGGCAGGGAGGGCAGCGGGAGGCCGAGCGCAGCGCTGCCCTGACCCGCTGCTGTGCACATGCAGGCTCCTAGCAGTGCCCCCTCCTGGTAACTGTGAGTCCCTGCTGTCGCAGCCTACAGAGAGTCATACAAGTCCTGAAAGTTCCAATGCCATGAGCCAGAAGAGAAGCCACAGCCTGAGCACCGAGACAACCTGCCCTCATTTCCCGGCCTTTCCCTTCCATCCCCGGGACCCCTTCTGGCTTCAGTCCCCAGGACAGCCTCTCCACTTTTCAGCAGCCAGCCTGCATACTTCGCTAAAACAGCCACGATCACGACACCCAGCACCTGTGGCCCAAGGCGCTGTCTCCTCACAGCCTGGCGGTCCCTCAGGTGTGGAAGCCAAGCTCTCGGCCCCGATGGCCCACATCCTCGCCCCCTGGGGTCTGTGTCTAGCGTCTCACTCTCCACCCCTGCCACCCCCGGGACCAGCTTCCTTGTTCTGGAAGCCCACAGCTTTGCCTGGAACTGTGGAGAGCTTTCTGATGCCACACGGAGCCGCCAGTGCCCCAGTTTGGGCCCCGCACGCCAAGCTCTGGGGCTTACCAATGTGGTAGTAGGTGAAGCACATCGTCATGAGGTTCTTGGCAGGCCCGAAGTCGTCCATCTGATGACACCTGGAACAAGAGCGAGGCTGCTGGCTGTGGGACTCCACCTGAGTTTCCCTTGCTGGGTCCATGCCTAACACATCCTGTACAACAGGCCCAGGGCAGACGCCCTCCCAGGCTCCCACAGGAGACGCGACGGAAGGAATCCCGGATCCGACCAGGCAAGGGTCCCAACATGGCCTGGGTCAGGGTCTGGGTCTGGGTCTGGTCTGGTCTGGTCTGGTCTGGGTCTGGTCTGGTCTGGGTTTGGTCTGGTCTGGTCTGGTCTGGGTCTGGTCTGGTCTGGTCTGGGTCTGGTCTGGTCTGGTCTGGTCTGGTCTGGTCTGGGTTGGGTTCTGGTCTGGTCTGGGTTGGGTCGGGTTTGGTCTGGTCTGGGTCTGGTCTGGTCTGGGTCTGGTCTGGTCTGGGTCTGGTCTGGGTCTGGTCTGGTCTGGTCTGGTCTGGGTCTGGTCTGGGTCTGGTCTGGGTCTGGGCAGGAAACAGTTCATGGCCTGCCAGCCTGGGTCCTTCAGCTCAAACAGGAAAGGCAAAACCCAGAAGCTCCCCTGAGCCCAGGAGCAGAGCCAGCATGCAGCCTCCAGCCGTGCAAACCAGGAGCCGAGGCCACCAGGCCCTCCAGCCCTCCGGTTCCCAGGACTCCGCAGGAAGTTGTAAGGCACGTTCAGATCAGTGGTTCTCAGACTCAGCCGCATCACAACCCCAGAGGGCGTCAGGACAGGATTCTGGGCCTAGCCCGGCGTCCCTGACACAGTAGGCCGGTAGCTGGGCCTTCTCTCTGCGTTCGAGGTTTCTGGCCTTTCTACCCCATTTCCTTTTCTGTCTAGGTTTTAGCCATGGCAATTTCTAAAAAGAGCTTTAGGGTCAGCAGGTGTGTAGAAGTTAAGGTGGTGAGATCCCACATGGCGACTCCACAATTCGATTCCCCGACCCAGCTACCTGAAAATCACACCTGATGCGTGTGCATGCATGCCCAAAAGCCCAAGAGGAGAATGAAGAAGAGGGGACTGCAGTGTGGCCATCTTCCTTGGGGAGTGATTTCTCACTTTCCCTTCTCTCTCTCTGTTTCTTTCTGGTGAGTGCACAGGCCCTGTAGTAAACTAAATACAATAAAAACTAAAAAGCGCTTTACATTACTGCTTTTAGGCTTATTCATCAACTCCTTTTATGAGTAAGAGAGAGAGAGCACTCTCAGATCCAGCCCCAGAGCACGTGCCTGGCGTACTCAGAGGTGTCCCCGGCTGGAACGGGAACCTAACTACAGGGCTGGCACCCAGAGCAATGGATTTTGCTGCTGCACCACCATGTGGTCTCAAGCCTGAACAGTTACTGCATCAAAAGTCACTAGAAAAGATGAAAGGTACTCTGGAGGGCCTGTTTATCATATTTCTCTTTTAAAAATCTTTTTCTTTTTTTGGAGAGGTTTTTGCTATAAGGAGCGTGCGCTTGCCAGAAAGACAGAGAGACAGAGAGACAGAAAGCGAGAAATCACCCCCCAGGAAGGGATGGCCATGCCGCAATCCCTTCTCCTCCATTCTCCTCTCGGGAACTTGGGCACACACACACGCCCAGCATGAGTTTAAGCCACCAGGTCCGGGACTTGAACTGCAGTCAACTACATGGGAGTCCAGCGACATAGCCATTACATCAACTGCTGGTCCTCCCCAAAATCTTTTTCTTTATTCATCGAAGAGCACACGTGTGCACATGCGAGACTGAGACAGAGAGGAGACGCACACTCCGCGGGTCTGACCCTGCCACGTCCCTGCCTTCCAGCCTATCAGAGCTCAGGCAGGTGTGCACCTGCCCGGAGTGCTTCAGGCTGCCCAGGCTGGGGATGCCGATGGCAAAGGCCTCGTGGGATCGGGCTTCTCTTGAGCAGCATCACTGCTGTCCACAGAGCCTGCCCTGGAGGGCCTGGCTTACACCAGCTCTCAGGGCTGCTCCAGCTTCTCCCACAAAGCTCCTGGTCCCTCCCTTTGCCAGCCCTAAGACCGAGACCCCTGAGGAAAAGCACATCCCAAACCCCAGCGACTCTGAGCCAGGGCAGGAGGCACAGGGATCGTCCTCTGTCTTGGCCATCTCCCTCTGGCATGTGCCGCACCTTCTGGGGGACAGAGAGGGGAGGCCTGGAGTGGCAGGAGAATTAGCTCTGGGAGACAGCACCTCCAGGGCGAGGGCGGAAGGGAAGGGCCCTTGCCGCAGGAGGTGGCAGTGGTTAAGCCCAGGACCCAGAGGGCACGTGAAGCCAGAAGGAGCTGCCTTCAAGCCCACAGGGCCGCCCTCCTCCTGGCCCTCCCATCCCGCCCCTCCTCTATGCCCAGCTGCGAAGAGGCCGGCCATGGCTCGGCCCCCTCTAGGCGGAGGAGCGTCCCCTCCTTCTTACACATTGGGAGGACTTGTGGCCTGAGGTGGGTCTGGCTGAGGAAACCTGTACCATGCTCCCTTCCCACCCCCACCACAGGCTCTGGGGACCACAGCTGCTGCAGTGCCTAGGTAGTGCTCTGCAAAGGGTTCTGCTGGGGGTTCTGCCTGCGGGGCTCCTGGTCTCCGTGGGGTGGGGGAGGCATCCCTGAGGACCACACAGAGGACTTACTCACTCCCAGCTGCAGGCCTCCAATCCCTGCAGCCAGGCAGGGGTTGCCTACGCCCCCACAGACGCTGGTCACGACTCCCCTTCAGCTGGCACCCAGCGAGGCCTGCCCCGGCTGTTACTCACCCTGGCCGGAGCGGTGTGAGGGTGGGGCGGGAGGAGCAGCTGGGTGGGGTAAAGCCTCGTCAACAGCGGCACTTACTCAAACAGCACCACAGCAAAGGACTGCACCAGGCGGTAGAAGGTGGGTTCTGAGACGCACTTGGAATTGCAGCGCTGTCCAGAAGGAGACCTGCCGTCAGGGGGGTTGAGGGGCCGCAGGGCCACGGGACACAGCTGCAACGGGGCGACCTGGCCAGCCGGAGAGCTCTGGCCCCCACCAGGACCAGGACAGGACACAGGCTCTCTGGGCTCCCCTCACCCTCAGAGCGCAGGCTGTGTGCTCCCACACTGGCCTACGAGACTTCACGTGTTTGCACTTTTTTTAAGAGATATTTTTGCTATAGGGTCCATGTACTCATCAGAGAGACAGAGAGAGACAAAGAAGGGAACCAGCAGTTAGCATAATGGCTGTGTCGCTGGACTCCCACGTAGTCGACCACGGTTCGCGTCCCGGACCTGGTGGCTTAAATCTCACGCTGGGCGC